AAATGAAATAAATCCACATTCATAACAAATAATGACACAGTCACCTTTGATAGGGTAAAAATGAACACTTTTGTAATCCTTTGATATGAAAAATAATGAGCCCATGAAGATTCAATTACATTATTTGCAGCTACTTGAAGCATATTCTTTTTATCTCATTTCTTGTATCTATAGGCTAAATACAAATCAATATCAATGCTGATGATGTTTAGCTTAATAAGTTTATGTCTTTTATCTGAATTATTCCTAAATAAAATTGACAGCAGTATTCACAGCTTATAACACAGAGCAGCCAGTGGCTTCCAGAAAAAGTATAGGTAATTCTCATCATCTTGTCAGAGACAAGGGGTCTGTTGGGTTCATCTAGAAATCAAGACATATTCCTTTAGAGGCTTCCCCATGGGCAGTAAGCTATTTGCCTCACTTGTCATTTATTTGTTGATAGCATTTACATGTCTTTGAAACAATGCTGACAACTTTGCCTAAATAAGTGAACATTCCCATGTCCATTCTCAGGTGGCCAGAACAGTCAGTGGATGTGAGCAATATGTTCTCATAAATGTGACTCATGTTTGGACTAAGTATCATCATTGACCAGATCATTTTGTCCTTCTCCCCATTTGTCGTGCCACCCTCCCATGATGTTATAATACCCATCAAATAATCGTGACTGTCAGCAATAAATGCAGCAACTGACAGCAGCTGCAAGGAATGAAATCACGATTGTCCACGCGATGAATTTGACCTTTTCAACTAGGCTTTAATTTTGGTATGCTTTTCCCCCCTTTTTATAAACTACTCAGATCTCAAGGTAATAAGCATGTAAAGTAAAACCTGTTAAACATCTTATGCTGTATTAACCATTCCTTTAACTGTTTTTAAACAAATTCCATGTTCATCACAAATTCCAGAAAAAGCAGAGAGTGTAGAAAAAGAGGAGAGAGAGGAACATTTTATAATTTTTAGGAGATGTCGGTATTATGTTTATAAACCAGAAAAGCACAGACTAATCTTTTCCTAGGCTGGATGAGAAATCTGGAAATAGGATATTGGTGGTACAAGGGGAAGAGTGCCTTAGGAAGGGTCTTGGGGAAATTTGGGGAGTACCTTTCTTCCAAGCTACACACAGCCAACTGTTGGTAGCACCGTATTCCACACAGCGAGAAGCATGGTGGGGCCAAGATGTCACTCTGGAAGGTCAACAGATAAGTGCAGAATATCTCATGCGAACGATTGAAAGCAAATGGTGACTCTGAGCTATGTAGGAGCTTCTCATGTAAATGGCTGTGCCACCTTCACTGCAGAATAAATGTGTTATCATGAAAACATTCTCTTCTAAACATGAACAAAATCTGTAGGGTCAAATCAATAGATTCCCATTAAAGCATTTACTGTGGTTCTAGTAACTATTTGATCAGAATATCCTTCTTTTTTGGCATTTTTGTTTTGTCGTATTATAAAGTAAGTGGTCTTACAAGGTGATTGTTCCATAACCATTTTTTTTTTTTTTTTTGCTGCCTTATTCCACACCCTGAACAGCAGCATATGTGTTTCTCCTGCCAACCCTGCTCCTCATGGTGATTCAGCCTTCTAGAGGCATTAGATTTATGTTGCTAATGCAAGACCACGTTTGTGTGCAACGGGACACATCCGCCATTTTTGCAGCCTTCGATCTCTCATGGCCGGCCCTCCAGGAATTTGGTAGCTTTCTCAGTCACTTTTTGAGTAACGCATTGCTTGGGTATTAGAACTATAGGTACTTATAAGGTTTAGATTTAATACTTTTTTTCCTGAGAACCTATTAACATTCAAATACTGTAGTAACTGGAGGTACAGGAGTTAAAATGATACCTTCTCTATGTACAATGTAAAAGGAAGCCAAGAAACACACCGACAGTTACGGGGAAACCAGGTGCCAGCTACTGCTGAAGCTCCTTCCCTATGACCTCATATGGTCCTTACAAAATTCCTAAGAAGTAGGTATTATTGACCTCATTTAAGAGATGGGGAAACTGAAATGTAGGGAGGTAAAAAAAAAATAAACAACAAAACAACAACAACAAAAAAACATGAAAGGCAACATTAGGTGATGTGTAAACACTCAGGATTTGAAAATCAGACGGGCCTGGGTTTCGATCCCCGGTTCCAGGCCGTGTATGGTAAGATGACCTCGGGCCACACGCTGCTGTAGCAGATGCTTTTGGTTGCCTCCCAAGGGGTGATCTCCCACAAGGTGGGTCCATATTTCAATCCTGGAACCTGCGGATATTATCTTCTATGGTACAGCATGTGCTTAAGTTAAGGATCTTGAGAGGATACATTCGTCCTGGGTTATGTGGGTGGGTCCTAAATTCTAGGGCATGTATTTTTGTAAGACAGACGCACAGAAGAGAAGACAAGTACGGAGGAGATTATGATGTGAAGATGGAGGCAGAGACTGGGGTGATGCGGCCGCAAGCCTCGGAATGCCTGGAGCCACCACATGCTCCAAGAGGCAAGAAAGGACCCTCCCCTGGAGCCTCCCTCGGGAGCTGGGTCCGGCTGACACTTTGGTTTTTGGACTTGTAACTTCCAGAGCTGTGAGATAACAAACTGTTGTCTTAAGCCACCCAGTTTGTAGAAATGTGTTATGGTAGCTGCAGAGAACGGACACACCCATTTCCCACCCGTTCCCAGCTTCTTTCTGGTCACTAGGTCCTCAGTGCTCTTCATGCATCCCTCCTCAGGGAAGCTGCTGTCCTCTCCGGCCCAGACGTAGTGTCTGACTAGCCTAAGACAACCATAGACGCCTTATTTTCATCACCCGTGAGGACTGAGGGCAGAGACACTTGGCAGTGTTCTTGCTCCTGACCCTTGGGGAGAGGCCAGATGACAGGGCTGGCTTCTGTCAACCTAAGGGCAATCTAAGAAGGTGCCAGGTCAAAGTCAGGCAGGTCTGCAAAGTGGGGTCCCCAGAGCAACATGGAGCAAGACAAAGGGGATGCTGGGAAGAATTGGAGCTGGGTTGGTCTGGGGAAGCCGGTGGCAGTGGGAGAGGTGGAAGACTAATATGGTTTGGGTATTTGTCCCCCAAATCTCATGCTGCAATATAATCCCCAGAGTTGGAAGTGGGGTCTGGTGGGAGGTGTTTGGGTCATGGGGGTGGATACCGCATGGCTTGGTGTTGTCCTTGTGATAGTGAGTTCGGTTGTTTAAGTGTGTGGCACCTCCCATCCTCCTCTTGTTCCTGCTCCCGTCATGTGATACGATGGCTCCCCCCACACCTTCCACCATGAGTGAAAGCTCCCTGAGGCCTTCCCAGAAGCCGAGTAGATGCTGGCACCGTGCTTCCTATAAAGCCTGCAGAACCACGAGCCAATCAAACTCCTTTTCTTTATAAATTACCCAGTCTTAGGTATTTCTCTTCTTTTTTTCGATTTTTATTTTCAGTTCAGGGGTACATGTGCAGGTTTGTTACACAGGTAAACTTGTGTCATGGGGGTTTGTTTTACAGATTATTTCATCACCCAGGGATTATGCTAGTACCCATTAGTTATTTTTCCTGATCCTCTCCCTCCTCCCACCCTCCGTGATAGGCCCCAGTATGTGTTGTTTATAGCAACACAAGAAGGGCCTAAAACAGGGGCTGACCCAGGACAATATCTCATCTGAGGGTCGGGGGCCGAGGGTGGGTGTCTAAGCAGGGTTGATCTGATGAGCTCCAAATGGAAGGAGCAACCAAGCATTTGAACCAGAACATTCATTCAAAGTAGACACAAATATGGGACTCTCAGCCCTCATAGTCCTGCACTGTGGCACCATCGTGATCGTTTTAAATAGATTCCAGCATGGAGGGTGAGGGTGAAGTTTTACTTGTCCTCCCATTTGTTATATGATAGATATTTTTTAGAAAATTCGATTATCATTCCTATAGACATATTACTTCCCAAATTTTTAAATAAATTAAATGGAGAGACCATAGAAAATCCCAAAAGGGCTTTCAATGGATGTTGATGAAAATAATGCTAAATATTATGTTAAAGTAAAGAGCTAACATTAGCTAGAGTATTTCTGAACAAGAAGAGTAGGGAGAGTAGATTTCTTTTACTAGGTATCAGTATCTACTATGAAGCTATGTAGTAAATAGATTAGGGCAATATTGGTATTAGCAAAAATTAACCAATAGAATGAAAGAGAGCCCAAAAACAGACCTATACACATACAGGATTTCAGTGTATGACAGACATAGATGTCAGTTCAGTAAATGCAGGTGGAATGCATGGTCATCCATACGGAAAACATAAAGTTGGATCACTACTTCATACTCTTAAAAGAAAAATAATCAGCTCCAGATGAATTAAGGACTTAATATCAAAAACAAAACTTAAAATGGTTAATAGACAATGGAGATGAATATCCTTTCAATCTTGGTTTAGATTCCTTACATAAAAACTGGAGAAAGAGTACCTACATAAGACACATTACTTTTTACTTTTAAAGAAAAGATACTCTTGGTCTTGACTTTATTATTGTTAAAAACATTTGATCATCCAAAGATACCACAAATAAAGCAAAATAGCAAGTTTAAAACTTGGAGATAGTATTTTATGCACACAACCAGTGGAATATTACTATCAAATACATAAAAACCCTCTTACAGGTTAATAAGAAAATAGAGGCCAGGCACGATGGCTTATACCTGTAATTCCAACACTTTGGGAGGCCGAGGTGGGTGGATCACTTGAGGTCAGAAGTTTGAGACCAGCCTGGCTAATATAGTGAAACCCGTCTCTACTAAAAGTACAAAAATTATCAGGGATTGGTAGTGGGCGCCTGTAATCCCAGCTACTCGGGAGGCAGAGGCAGGAGAATTGCTTGAGCCTGGGAAGAGGAGGTTGCAGTGAGCCCAGATCATGCCACTGCACTCTAGCCTGGGCAACAGAGTAAGACTTGGTCTCAAAAAAACAAAAAAAAACACACAAACAAAAAAGAAAATAGAAAAATACCAATAAAAGCACATGCAAAAGACATGAACAGGCATTTATCCAGAAGAAGGAACACATAAACCATATAAAAATGTTCATTAATGATTAGTGAATGGCAGTCAAGACCACAAAGAGATACCTTTTACACCATGTGGCTGGCAAATATGAACAAGACTGACAGTCACAGGGCAAGGCAGGATGCGACGCCACAGGGTTTCTTACAATGCACGGCTGGAAGTCGTGTTGTTATAATCACTTACAACTTCTTAAAGCTGGCTGCCGTAACAGAATACCACAGGCTCGGGGGCTTAAACAACAGACGTTTATTTTCCCACGGTCCTGGAGGCTGAAAGTCCAAGATCAAGGTGTCAGCACGGTGGGTTTCTCCTGAGATCTCTCCTCGGCTTGCAGATGTCCACCTTCTCGCAGTGGCCTCACATACTCTTTCCTCTGCGAATGCCTCGCTGGTGTCTCTGTGGGCCCGGATTTCCTCGTTAGAAGGACAAATCAGAGTGGATGGGGGCCCTCCACCCCCGAAAGGCCTCATTTTAACTTAATCACCCCTTTAAAAGCCGTATCCTCAAATTCGGCTACATTCAGAGGTGCTGGGGTTGGGCTTCATCACAGGGGTTTTGGAGGCCAGAGGGAGACATAGCTCAGTCTGTAACAGGGGGCGTCAGCCTCTGCTACCCTTAGCCTTCCCATCGCTTCTTTCCGTGGTTCTGTCCTTACTTCCTTTCTGGCCTGTCCATCCGTCCAGCCGTCTACGATCTGTGCATCTCGCCTGTCCATCCCTGTCATCCACCTGTCCCTCCTCTCCTGTGCAGGCTCCTCTTCTTCTCCTTGGCCCTCGGCGTCACTGTCCCTCAGCTTTCAGCCTGCTTTGCTCTCCTTCCTCATCTCACATTAGGGAGAGTCATTACCATTCACTCTCCCTAGTCACATTCTGAACAAAAGGCATTCCAGGAAACAAAGCATCCGGCTGCCACTGCACAGCGACAGTGACATTCTGCTTAGGTGCAATCCAGCTTCCCCGTTTCCTGGCTCTGTGACCAGCCTGTGCATCAGTTACTTCATAGGTAAAGCTGGACTGCTGGCAGTAGCTAGGAGTTGTCAGGAATGTGAAACCGGCTGATACTTGTGTGGTACTTAGAACAATGACTGGCATGTTGTGAGGGTTACATGGGAGTTTGTTAAATAAATACATAAAACCGCGAGAAACTCCTTACCTCATGTTTAACTAGCAAGTTCGTTTCAACCGTAGGGCTTCAACGGAAGAGTGCCAGCTGCTTCCTTGTGCAGCACTGAGTGCTGTGTTCTCCAGGTCCGTGCTCAATCAGTACTTGTTAATTTGGTAACAAATTACGAGATTTGTTTAAAATGCGCTTATACTCTATTAATTATCACTGATACAGAAATAAGTTGTAAGTGTGAAGACAACTATTCCACTTGGCTCATGGTTCTTTTGCGCAGTTTCTAATAAGATAAAAAAGAAAACAATCTTTCAAAAGAGCCTGGGTGGGGAGTGTGGAAAGGCAACCTTGCTGCAACAGGGATGAATTGCAGGGGCTCGGGCGGCCTCCAGCCCCGCTGCCTGTGAGTTTATCCTTAAGCTCATTGATCTCATAGCTTGAGCCGAGGCGAGCACTGCCTGTTTCTGCTTTGGGTCTAGCTTGGCACCCTGATCTCATGGCAACACTCACACTTCTCTAGGCAGTGGCAGAAAGAGAGGAGCTGCTCCTCGTGCCGCAGGCTCACCTTGCCAGTTCCTTTCTGTCCGTCTCTCTGTCAGCATCCCCTGCGTCCCAGCAGCTGCTCACCCCTCCTAACCACAGCCAGGGCGAGGGCAATGGTAGCAGCCACCCCTTCCGGCCTCTGCTCTGCTCTTTCAGGGCCAGCGACCTCTGTCTGGCCTTGGGCCCGTACTCGCGCCTCCAGCAGGCAGAGGCTGGCTGCCCGCCACCTCAGCTCCTCCAGATCTGTCAGGCCTGCGGCTCCACCCCTCACTTTCAAGGGCAGAAAAGGGCCTGGATTTTTCTGAGGTCTGGAAGGGACAAGATTGAGGATGCTAACACTGAACATGGAGGATCCCTGCATGCTGGATCTCTGAAGATAAGGCTCCCATCCAATCAGTGGGAGGCACTATGGTCTCGAACCAGGTCACAGAAATCTTTGCGCCTGATCTGATATCTGATTCCTAGGAAGAGAAGGCCACCTTCTGTAGAGGGGGCAGGAGGATGAAAGGACACTTTCTGTTTTGTCTCATAAATGGAGGCATATTTAGCGTACTTAGACTAGCATTATGGCAGAGGAATGGATGGAAATTACAGAAATTTTGAAAGAATCATAGGAGTCAAAGACTAATTGGCAATACATGTTTAAAAATACAGAGGGTTTAAAGAACAATCTAGGATCTTAAGCCTGGGGAGGGAAGGAGTGGATGGCAATGGTGACTGCGGGCTATGGAAATCAGTAAGAACCTGGGGGAGCTGGAGCTGGTTGTAGGGGGATGGTGAGTGCAGAGCTGGGTGTGTGGAAGCTGAGGTGACGGCAGGACTTGTCACATGGAGACTGAACCTGCCCAGCTGCAGCAGGCAATGCTCAGAAAGCTCGAGGCTGGAGATGCAGATTTGGGTGTTACCCCAAAAACATGGCAACAGAAACTGCGACAGCCAAGAGTCAGTCACATGAGGCAGAGTTCACCTGGATGATGGTCGGTTATGGATACGGCCCCACGCTGTCATATCTGCAACCAGTACCTTTCCAAGAAACAGCACAGAAACAAATAGAACTAAGTATCCCAAGGGCTATATTTATGATTACCAAGCCTTAGTTTTCTGCAAATTTGGAATTCATGTATTTATTTATATATTTATTTATTACGTGGTGCCTTAGGGTTCTCCAGAGAAACAACTAATAGGATATATAGAGCTGTAAAGAAAGAGGCTCGGCATGGGAATTGGCTCACACAGTTATGGAGGCTGTGCATCAGGCTCGGCCACCTGCAAGCAGGAAAGCCGGTGGTGTTGGTTTCAGTTCCACTCTGAAGCCCTGAGAAGTGGAGGAGCCCAGTCTGAGTCTGATGTCCCAAGAACTGGGAGCACTCATGTCTGGGAGCAGGAGATGAACGTCCCAGCTCCAGCAGAGCACAACTTCTCCCCCTGCCTTTGTGCTCTATTCCAGCCGTCAAAGGACTGCACAATGGTGAGGGTGGGTCTCCTTTATAGTCCATTGATTCAAATGCCAACCTCTTCTGGAAACGCCCTCACACACACACACCCAGAAATATTGCTTTACCAGTTATCTGAGCACGCCTTAGCTCAGTCAGGTTAACGTATACAATTAACCATCATCTACGGAAAGAATCTTTTGATTTTTGTCTTTTTTCAGGATTAAAACCATGTTGGGACTCTCCCAGAAATAAGGTATGGCCTCTCCTCCCACCATTGTTGTATGTAAGAACCATCTTGGAAACGTGCGTATGTTCTCAGAAGACGTTTACAAAGGATTTCAATACAGGTTATTAAAGAAAAAATTATTCATGACTTTAAGGAAGATATTATTCGAAGGGGGCCGTGATGATAGGAACAGGGACCACTTCAATGGGGTCTTGCAGTTGGGGAGAGATTGGACTCAGCTCCAACAAGAAGTGGCGATTTATGGCCAAGGACAGGATGGGGGTCAGTGGATGGAAAATTACTACGAGGAGACAGCACGGATAAGAGGGTTCTGGCTGAAATTATGACTGTTTGGGAAGGCAGGCCAGGGTGCTCAGATACCAAGGGTGGGGGATTTTTGCTAAGCTGACTTGGCAGGATTCCTGCTCACAGCGGATTCTACAAGGACAGAGGGAAGCCTAGGCTTGAGGCTAGTCAATCACAGGACTCAGGAATTCAGCTAAAGTTTTGGTTGAAGGAGAGTCTTCATCAAAGTAAAGCTGAGACGGCAATGATTATGGTCATGACTTGCCATTTTATGTTTCTAAACAGGGTAGTTCTGCCTTGGAATCATCACAGTAAAGGCAGTCTGTGGATTCAGCCCCTGGTGTTGACTTGGCCTGTGCTTTTCAACCTTGAAATAGCTGAGCCAAGGCCTCAGCCATGCTGGGTTCAGTGGGAGGGAGCACAGTTCAGCCCAGGGCTTTATGAATATGCTACAGAGGGCTTGTCATCAGCTTCTCTTATGTGACAGGCCAAGTGTTCCCCACCTCCATGATGGGTACAGCACATCCGGGCAGGAAGGACAGCAAGTGTCCATTTCCTTGCGGTTCTCCTACAGTCTGTAACCACTCCATTTCATTAGCAAATTGTGTGTTCTATCTATGATGCCAGAGGATGGGAGGTGCTGTAGGGGCTGAACTAAAATGGTATCAGGAAAGGTCCGTTCCAGACCCTTGGAATGAAGCGTCTAGCAAGCAGGAAGCCCTCGCTCTTGTTCCAGGTCGGGTGGCACTAAAAGCAGCGGGCTGAATGCATGCGTGAGAACTCATTTCCGGTTAGTGCTTGGGATGTTTTCAAGAACCCCTGGAGTCCCAGGCTCCCCATCAGTAAAACTGGGCTGCCTGGTCAGCCCCCCAGGGCTGTGATGACAGCAGGTAAGGTCTGGTGAGCAGGGCTTTCCCACATAGATGGCCGGAGGACTGTGGGCGATGGGGCTGGCTACCTTTTGTGCTCCATAAATGTACTGTCAATAATTATGGGCTACCAAAACATGTCTCGAGGACCTAATTTTTATGTGGAAGTTTATGGAATCCTGTAGAAGACTTTTGAAAATGCAACTGAGGGACGGAGAAACCTTACCCATAAAAACACCACTTCCATCACCGCTCTGGTAAGAAAGGAATATTCAGGTGGCCCAATGTTAAACATTAAGAAAATTCCAAGTACCTGGGAATGTCTACTACCAAAACAGACACAACAGTCTTCAAACAACCCATCACTAGAACCTCTGAAAGTAAGGGTATAGAGGAGGGAACCCAGGGAGGGGCGCCTGTCCAGAAGCTGGACCGTGGTGGGAGGACCGGCAGAACGGTGGAGCCTGACTTCCCAATCAGGCCTTTGTGAACCGGATTCAGCTTTCTCAGGACCACTGGCGATCACTGAAGGACGTGGGGAGCACCAGAGTACAATCAGCTCCTGGGCAGCGAGGAGGACAGACACGCGGGAGCGATTTGGGGCAGATGGTGATTTCGGAGATGACTCTAATTTCCTAGCTGACAGCAGCTGTGAGCAGCAGACAAAGACAGGGCGGAGGAATGGGAGTAGCAAGTGGACTAAAAACCAATTTAAGGAGAATGGAGGAAAAAGTGTGTCACCAAAATTGTGAGGTTAGAAACAATTTACGATATAGAAAGAAAAACATGAGTGAAAGAAACAAACGTAACAATACTATCGTGGGGAAAAAGAACAGAAAGCAGGATTTTCACAGATCTGTATATTAATGCATGGAGTTTGGGAAGACTTAAAAATTTCATGTAATGAGGCTAATAAAACCTAAGGCTGCGAGCAGGCTGAAGGATACACTCAGGTTTGGAACATAAGCCTGGGATGGCAAGCAGTGTAATGTACCCATGCTAACATTTATGAAATACTTGGTGTGTATAAGGTATAACTTGTATGCAGGTGTAGATCCAAGTTTTCGGGGTCCAAGGGTTAGACAGGTTTTGAAGTCTTCCATAAGAAAGGAAATAATTATAAACCTGAAATTAAGTACTGGGCTTGGGAATCTGTGAAAATGAGGGGCCCCAAAACTTAAGTTTTGTGACCTTCTGGGTAACTCACCCCCCGTAGTGAAAGGTATATAGTAACAGAATGAACACCCAGCAACCCACCACACCGTGTAAGAATTTGTCCAAGATGAACCCCTGGGAAACTCACTGTCATCCTCCTACCTCCTCACCAGAAACAAACATTCTCCGGAAGCCTCAGCTTACCTTTCCCTTGCATTTCTTCACAGGGTTTTGACACATACGTATGTATCTCCAAAGAGTAGTTATTTAGCTCCGTATTTCTGAACTCTATATAAATTCTGTCAGAATACCTATTTAATCTTGCAATCTGCCTTTTTTGCTCGAAGTGTTGGTTAGATTCATTGGTGCTGGCAAATGCAGCTATTAGCTCCTTTTCCCTTGCTTGTCGAAACAAAGGCAGTTCCTGCTTTCCACACCTGTGAAACTCACGTTAAGTCAGAACTCTCGCCTCAACTTGCACGGTCCCATGGCAACCGAAATTGGGCATCACAATTTTTTTCCACCAATCTTTTGTCAAAACTTGCCACTTTTTGTTCTTACATATGTTATATTCAGCTCCAGGGCCATGGGCAAGAGTACTTCTATGGTGAACACCCAGGGGAGGAAATTCTGCGTCATGGAGAATCTGCAGCTTCAACTTTTCTGAATAATGCCACGTTGGCCAGCCAGGTGGTTCCACGAATATACGTCCCACCAGCAGGGGATGAGAGTTCCCTCTGCTCCATCCACTGTGTTATTGATTAAAAGTTTCTTACCAATCTGGCAGATGAAAACTAGTAACCCGTTCTGCATTTTCTTGATTTTGGTGAGATTGAAAGTATTTTTGGAAGTGTATTGGCTTCACGTTTTCCTCTTTACTGAAATGGTCTTTTGCCCGTTAGGGCAGCTTTTCCCCCTTTTTTGGGGGCTCCTTTGTGTGTCTCAAAGTGATGTTTTCTTGGCTTTGTGTTCTTTAAAGTTTCTCTTTCGTGGCTTTTTTTTTTTTTTCTGATAAAGTTCTTGATTTTAAAAATCAAACTTTTTCTTTATGGTTTCTAATTTTGTGTCTTATTTAAGAAATCCGTTCCAAAATGTCATAAGGATCTTCTCCTGTCTAGTTTTGCAAGCGTAAAGGTTTTACTTTTCCTGGAATGGACTCTTGTGTGGTATGGGGTAGAGACTGACTTTCATTTTCTCCCACATGGATACGTGATTGTCTCAGCACTATTTGTTGAACACTGAACCCTTTCTATTGCACTGTAATGTAACCTCTGACACATAATTAGTTTCCACAAGTGCGTAAGCCTGTTCTGGGGTCTCTATTTTGTTCCGTTTGTTCCACTGCCTCAATTGTCTATCGATGCATGAATGCCTTGCTGCGCTGATTACTGGCGCTTTCTAGGAAGTGCAGATACCTGGTTGGGGAAGTATCTCTGCCTCGAGCTTCCATAAGGTGTGCATTCTTCAAAGAAACAGGTCAGCTCGGAGTAGCCCAGCAGGCTCACCACAGATCAGTCCAGCGACCTGCCTCACCCATTCCTACACCTGCGAGCCCTGCGTGAGCGGATGGCACAGCTATGCAGACCAGCATCATCACTCGCTTTCTGTGGTATCGCACGCTGGCCACTGTTCCCTAGTCAGTTTCCTCCCTTCTCCTTCAGGGCTTCTTCCAAGCTTTCATCTTTCTCTTTAAGTCCCAACGCCACCCTGCCTTGCCACTCAGCTGATGACACACAGAGGCTGACCAGCTGGGCTCAGCTGCCAATGCGTCATCTTTCCACAAACTCCTCTGCCTGAGCTGCTCTCCTGCCTCCGGTCAGCTCTGCTCTGAGTCGAACCTGCCAAGACCTTACTCCACTATTCTCTTTGATCTTCCATGGGTTTCCAACCTCTCCTCCATGGCCTCCCTTCCTTTAGCACATTCCCCATTTCTTTCATCTTTAACAAAAATATAAATCAAACCAATTTACAATTCAAAACAAAAAATAAAATCCTTTCCTCAGAATCTGCTAACCATTACAGGGTAAGAGGGGATTGCAAGATGGTGCTGGCCAGATGACCCCAACACACGGCAAGCCTGCCTCAACTGGCCAGCGTGCTCTCCCCGGGCAATGCCATTGCCCCCTTGGCTCCAGCTACTTCCTCTCTGCAGGCCACTCCTAATCTCCTCCAGTTCAGACAGCATCCTGAGCGCCAGACTTGAGAAGCCTGTTGCTTCTAGGCCTTCACCTGGCTGACCGATGCACCTTGAGCTCAATGTACAACTGACTGTTTTCTGCTCATGACCCATTCCTGTCCTGGATTTTAAGAGTCGATCAGAGGCCTGAGTTATTCTCGACTCCTCCCCATGTGACTCTGGATTTTAACATAGTCAGAGGCCTGAGTTATTCTCAACTCCTCCCGCTGTGTGACTGGATTTTAACAATCAGAGGCCTGAGTTATTCTTGACTCCTCCCCCGTGTGACTTCCCACATGCACTTGGTCACAAAGTCCTGTCCTTCACTCAGCCCCACACATTTCTCAAATGTACCAACTCCTCTCTAGCTTTATCCTCTCTCATCTCAACAACTACGGTAACCTTTACCTGGCCTCTGCCAAATGCAAGCCGTCCTGCACACAACTACCGCTTCTAAATACAGACACAACAGCTTATTCCCACTCAGATTCCTACGATGCTCTTCAGGCCTACAGGATCAAAACCTTAACCCTGTCCCATGATACACCTGGCCCCTGCATTCTACACCCCGCCCTCAAGCATTTCGGTGGCACTGGACGACTCTAGTCTGACATATAGCATACCCTCAAACAATATGCTGCATGAAATCTAACAGATGGAACACATGAGTGGTACTATATAAAATCAATATTAAGTGTAACCCTGAGTGGAAATCTATGAATTAGGAATTGGGGAACTGTCTCTGGATGAGAATAAGAGAAACAGAAGTAATATTGTAGTGGCTTACAAAATGGAAATGGATAAAGTATTACTAGCATCGATCAACAATAGTTATGAAGGCAGCTTGCAAGGCAGTCAGGCTGGAAATCTCACTGGGCTAAAAGCAGAACTTCTGATAAACTCTTGCCTTCTTCATTAAGGAGGAAGAGCAAACAGTGACCGGAGAGTCTGCTCTAGAGTTAGTTGTGAAGAGTTCACTGATCAGGTGTGGAGGAGTGACAGAGGCCTTGGAGGAAAATGACCAGAGCATTTGCAAATTCAGAAATATGACAGAAGGGGGATACCAGGCAGAGTCAGATATGTGCCCTAGAATTCAGAGCAAAAGTGGGAGTAAGCCCATGGACACAGACACCACAATCAAAGTGGATTAAAGAGGGTCTTCAAAAAAGGGAAATTGTAACATTTAGTAGGGTACATCAGAGGTAACGAAAACAGAGATCTAGAGAGTTACACATCACATTCTCCTGTGGCTATATGGAAGAATCTCTTACAGATACCGAAATTTTTCCTTTTGAAAAAGTAATTTAGTTTTATTTTTAATTATAAAAGCTGAATTTTTTCTTTTTTTTTTTGAGATGAAGTCTTGCTCTGTCACTCAGGCTGGAGTGCAGTGGCATGATCTCAGCTCACTGCAACCTCTGCTTTCTGGGTTCAAGCGATTCTCCTGTCTCAGTCTCCCAAGCAGATGAGATTACAGGAGTGCGTCAACATGCCCGGCTAATTTTTTTTTTTGTATTTTTAGTAGACAGGGTTTCACCATGTTGGCCAGGCTGGTCTTGAACTCCTGACCTCCAGTGATCCACCTGTCTCGGCTTCCCAAAGTTCTGGGATTACAGGCATGAGTCACTGTGTCTGGCCAAAAGCTCAGATCTTAAAGGGGCATGAGCATATTGTAAAATGGGAGGTACATAAAAATGAATCTAGAAAAAGCAAACGGTCTTAAGCCAAATGACAGGGCCATGGAGGGTGCTAAATCCCCACCTGCCCTCAGATGCTGGGCTTCTTCAGCAAGCTACAGTTTGAGCAGGTCCTCTGAAGAGTGGGGCTGCTGTTTTGAGTTTAGGATAGCAAGTGGAACTTCTCAGCCTGTTAAATGTTGACATTTCAGTGAATACTGAAACTGAACATTCTATAGCAAAGGAAAAAATGATTAGGAGAGAAAGTCTAAGTTAAGGACTCATCCAGTCAAAGTGTGTTACATCAGGGAGACAAGAGGCTCTGCTATGATATTTTCTATACTCCTCAAATGTTGGAAATTTCATCTAAAACAAGCAGTCAAACCAAGAAACTAACTAAATTAAGTAGGGAGATAAAGTAAGCAAGATAGATTGCCTGGAGGTCTCTCTATCCTGAATATCCCAAAATTTCAAGAACACATCTGAAATTCCTCTACAGACAGTTCTAAGGGAGATGGAACAAACACATCAGAGGGGATACCTCACAATGAAGCCACCACAGATAAACATGGTTCTAGACCCCTCCCAATGCACATAGGACTTATACAGATATGGAATTGGGATCTTGTAAGTGAAGGTCACTTTTTGCCAAATCTCCAGCAAATACTTCAAATAAAATAGAATCCCCCCCACCTTTTTTTTAAAGGGGGCCTCACACACATATTTGAGTATGTCTGTCATTCACTCCCATGCTCTTTTGGCAGTCAGAAGTATCAGTGCAAGCAAGTTCTAAATGGGATGAGAGCACTTCATGGCCGCCTTCTATGGTCCAGCCTTATACCTCTCATCACACTGCCATCCTAACAACCCACACAACGGGGACGCCTGATGAGGCTAAGGTGCCTGCGCAGGCCCACACCCTGTTAGAAAAGGTGGGATGGGTGCCCAGGTCTACCCGACTTGGGAGTGTGTACTTTTCCTGCTATGTACAAGGCCCTTAATTCACAGAGGGGGAAATATGAGTCAGATTCCTAAAACTCACACAATTTTGAAGAATGTATTTACCATCTGGTTCCCTATGGTCCTCAACCATTTTCACGTTTTTTTTTTTGTTTTGTTTTTTGTTTTTTTTGAGACGGAGTCTCGCTCTGTCGCCCAGGCTGGAGTGCAGTGGCGCGATCTCGGCTCACTGCAAGCTCCGCCTCCCGGGTTCACGCCATTCTCCTGCCTCAGCCTCCCGAGTAGCTGGGACTACAGGCGCCCGCCACCTCGCCCGGCTAGTTTTTTGTATTTTTTAGTAGAGACGGGGTTTCACTGTGTTCGCCAGGATGGTCTCGATCTCCTGACCGCGTGATCCGCCCGTCTCGGCCTCCCAAAGTGCTGGGATTACAGGCTTGAGCCACCGCGCCCGGCCCATTTTCACGTTTATCTCAAGTCAGATTCCAAAGTATGTGGAAGGCAGCCGCTAACGACATATTTGTTAATTTTATTCTGCAGACATTATACAGTTCTATAATATAAAATGAATACAATACTAAAATCTATTTCCTTTATTTACATGGCATAAAATTTTCAATAACAAACATCTAATCATGAAAGATGGTGTTAGAGCAGAAATACTGTCATGATTGAGTCAATAGGAGAACATAAAATATGCTGTATTTCATAATTTTTCCATAAGAAAATGTCTAGTTTGTTTAAATGCAACAAATACTGTATTAGATTCACTTTATAAACCATACACTCCTTCCTGTCTTTTGAACACATTCTGGAAGACAGCTGTGAAGAACAGAGTAGTGAGTCCACGCCATTCAACATCCGTCAGAAACCTGCTTGCTTGCTTATTTTAATCATCTTGGGATCGATTATCTTCAATGATAATAGTTCTTCTAGGATAAGATTCAATTTCTACAAATATATATCGAAAATCATATTCACCACTTTCTCGGTTCTGAAAAAAATGTAGTGTTTCCAGGTATTATTTTCCTTTCCAGAACTTAAATAACACCGCGCTCAGAACCTCTGACCCCACGACCCACAATTCCCACACCTCTTTTACTTCCGCATACACCGTTCCTTGCTTCCCTGGCTCAGAGCCCTCAATGTAGAATTTCACACGTGTGTGTTTCAGCTCATCTTTTACATATTCAGTGAAACTGTCAAGAAAACGAAATATCAGTCTAAGTTCCTTTCATTTAAAAATTTCCCCAGAGCTTCCTCTGAATTCAAGCCACGGTACCTGACGTGCTGCCGGCGACCCCGCCTTGTCACCTCCCCATAGCCTTTAACAGGCTCACCAAAGACAGCGATTACCTGCAGAACAAGGACAGTGCTTTATTTTGTGTTATTTTTTAAGCTTACTAAAGAAATAATTTCTAACAATCCAAATGATTTTAGGAAAAAAAAAATCAGAAAGCATAGGACCTTTACAAAAATGACTACTCCTGGCTCACGCCTGTAATCCCAGCACTTTGGGAGGCCGAGGCAGGTGGATCACGAGGTCAGGAGTTCAAGACTAGCGTAGTCAACTAGGTGAAACCCCATCTCTACTAAAAAATACAAAAATCAGCCAGGCGTGGTGGTGTGCATCTATAGTCGCAGCTACTCAGGAGGCTGAGGCAGGAGAATCGCTCAAACCCAGTGGGCAGAAGCTGCAGTGAGCCAAGATCGTGCCACCGCACTCCAGCCTGGGTGACAGTGAGACTCCGTCTCAAAAAAAAAAAACAAAAAACAAAAAACCAAACAAAAAATGACCACTCTAATAAGAAAACTGAAAAAAGGGTTATTATACAAAAATCATCCCATAAATGATTGAAACAAATATTTCATGCACACAGATTAAAATAGGTAGCTTTATGGTGTGACTTGTAGTTTCAGAACAATGTAGGTTGAAATGATGCACTTCCTGCTCCCCTTATAGAAAACAAACATAACAACACAGAGTTCAGATGTTTCTCTACTAACCCCTTATGGTTTGAAGATAAAATATATGAATATTTTTAATGAAATTTAATCAATTAATAACATCTAACACTAAAATGAGATAAAAAAATTTTAAAGTCACTAAACACAGTGAAGAAAAAGAAAACAGATAATAATGACATTTAAAATAAATCAGAGCTACAGGTGTGAATCCATTATTTCTAATGAGAAAATCCACATGAAGTAGCAATGTAGATTTTATTGAATTCAAAATGTAAATACTGTGGAACCCCCCCAAAAAATATAAATTTGATATTAAACTAAAAAAATTTGACCCTCAACTCTATGAAATTTATCTTATTTTGTCTGTTTGTGGAGTATCTTCAGTATCACATTTTCCAGGATAAAAAGAAGTAATATGTAAGATGATATTTCAGAATTGTGTAGCACAAACAGATAGAACAATTTACTTTAATCTATTAAACATATAAATATCAACACCCATCAAGATTTTCTGTTTTTCAAGCAGACACGGTACCCAGCAAAGAGAAGGGTACCCCTTAAAAATGGTGACAAAATTGTTAAAGTTTCATTATTATTTGTAGAGCTTTTTCAGGCAGCAAATTAAGGTATGACTTTAATAGTATCTCACTATTGTATATTCTGTTTGTTCAAAATGCTGAAAAAATCTATGAAAGGCTGAGTTTGTGAATAAAACAGCAACTCTTCATCTCTTTCCAGAGACGCGTCCTAACATTTAATAAGGTTACACCCATAGGTACTTCCGGAGTCTGTAAAGAATGTTTCTTGTCAGATATAATTTGGATTCCCAATAACTATCATGGGAACCTTCCTAATTTCCTGGTTTTCACCTCTGAGATACTTTACCCTCCCTGCCTCTTTTTCCATGGTTACCACTGACTGTCCAGAGTTCAATGAAGAGAAATCAGTGGATTTAAAAGGAAAGATGCCAGAGATCCTTAGCTTCTGAGGTTTCCACCCTGACACGATTAGAAAAACTGGTGGAACATTCAGAGCCAGGGCCCCAGGGCAGATCAGCACTGGGCTCTATACTGAGCACACTGTGGATTCAAATCTTTCTCCTCTTCAGGGGCTGCAAATGCGAGCTAGGATGTTACCCCTTGGTCTGTGTGAAGACCACCCCTAATATTTATGATGATAATGGCAGACAGTTACCGGCTGTTATCTTTCAATGTGAATGAAGTTGGATTTCAATGAGTAATATTTTCAGTGCTGAGGCTTTCCATCAGGGAGTAAGAAATCTGGCACTTCCCAGGCCACACGACCATGAGGTCATGCATCAGGCTTTAAAAAGACTAGAAACTTACCATGAGTTTGGTATTTTGGTGTATTCTAAGAATTTAGTATCTATGAACAACCAGCAAAATGACTCTCTTGTACAATTAGCATGAAAACATCTGTACACTGAGTTTTGGGTTCTCTTAAAGAACAAAGACCTAATAATGTAATGATAAATCAACCATTATGTATTATTATGTGAATTTCACTAGCGTGAGAACTGGTTCTTGAATTCTGCCCACTTCCTCCTCCCAACTCATCAGAGTTCACGTAACTCAATCTTGAGAACTAACCTCGGGATGTGATCTGCATTTTTCTAAGGCTCTCCCATATATCTTGCTAGGACTGGATGAAGAAAAAAGTTCTTTGAAAATCGTGTAAAACAAGCCACCTGAAATCACAGAAAACAAAGATGAAGCAAAGCAAGGACAACA